ACAAATGAATCACGAACAGAAGAGATTGTTCTGTCCATTGTCTAATTGAGAGAACTGAGGGGTTCTCTTCCACGGTTGGAATGACCTGTCATGGCCTAAAAAGAGTTCAGCTTGTGACAGAGTTCCTGTCCTCTCGTCAGGCCTGTCCAAGGCCTGCTTCGAGGCAGTAAATCTTGTTTCTTCACTCAAGGTGACCCCTACAAGTTTATCTTATCAATGTGAGGAAGCCACAAGTGCAGAACCTGCAGAACAACAAGTTCGAACCTTGACAGGCTCGAACTAAATGAGAATGAGCTAAGCTTTTAGTGAATTATTCAAACCAACATAAAACAAGATAATTTTTAAACTTAAGCAAAAATAACGAAATATATATTTCATAGTAAAACATAGTGAACTAGATCATAGTTATTATTTTTAGTTAAATTGAAAAATAAAACAGAAAAAATATGATCACCTTATTGTCAAATAACAGTTGATTAAAACACTTATTTGAATAAAAAAAAATAAAGAAACATTGGAACAATATATTTCTTGTGTGTTTTTCTTTCTCTGAATTATAATGAAAGAAAATAGTTTGTCATTCATTTCAGTATGTATCCTTGATTTATAAAATGATAACTTTTAGATGAGAGAAAATATAAATTAAAAATATAAAGAACATTATTATTTTGTTCATCGTGATTCAATAAAATAAAATGTCTCTTTACTGTTTAAGAAAACATGTTATGAATTTAATGAGAACAGAGTTCTGTCTCTTTAAAGGAGGCCTTCTGAGATCAGGGTCAAAGACAGGTGGAACGTTTATTCCACCCCTAGGTGACCACTACACTCCTGAGAGACAGGAGCGCTCCTCAGCGCACGCAGGCTGAGTCTTTCTGTGAGATTCACTGTTTGAGTTCTTCTAAACATATTACCTTTAACAGAAGGTTTATTTGCCCCATATCAAGGCAAAGATGAGTCTCTGTTTAACATGACCCCCATCCAAAAAAATAAAAATAAAAACTTGCCATGTTCTCTAGGTGAATCAGTTTTAAATGTTACTTTAGTTTATCAGAAAGATCCACAAATTTTATTCCTCACAATTTTATGATAACAACAAGGTTCTTGATGTGCTAAACATGTTTATATTTAGAATCATACTGTGACACAGCTGCTCTGGGATTAGTGTAATTGAATAAATTATAAAATATGAAGAATACATAATTTTATATGATTACATGAACTGAAATCATCGAAATATAATCTTTTTGTATAAAATAGTCTTCAAAAAAAGAAATAAGTCTAACAAATAAAACATTTGTTTTGTGCAAAAGACAGATATTTGCTGCTTGGTCTGGAGAGTGTGGAAACAAGGCCAAAGATCTAGAAGGCCAAGCTACAGGAGCTGCACATCTCAGGGTCATGTGTAATCTAACAGACATTTAAACATGAAATGTTCAGACTGAGATGACATATGTCCATGGGTCAGCCCATTGGCCACTTAGGTAGTTTACAGAATGTATGCAGAGTAAAAAAAAACAAAAACCAAAATAAAAAACTCTGATTTGGCATGATGTCCCGAGACATTGCCAACTGATAGAAGGCGTCATAAAACAGAACAGGGGGACGTTAGATGCCCTGACACCCCTCTAGATAAATGTGTTAAATGAGTTAAGGAAAATATGAGCACTAAGCAACAACCCCAGGTTCTCCCCTGAGAACCAGACCAAATATTTTATGTGCAACCCTGTTAATTACCCTTCCTTAACACTCTTTTCCTCCCTACTTCTTAATCTTTGCCCATACCCTGCCAAACCTTTAAGAACAGTGCCTCAAACAATGGTTTATTTAACACCTTAAGCCTGAAAAGTTTGTTGTTCCTGATAAAGTTGTCAAAGCAATCATAATTAACCCAGACGCGAGTTAATTGTGTTGATTTCAACTTTGGTAAAAATCTAATTGTATCTCAATGAGTTGTACATAAGTAATTAATTTTATTCTGTAAATAAATACCTATTTTAGATAAAACTGATACTGACTATGTCCACTCATTGTGTGGTTTCCTCACAATTCCACAGAGAATGTATTATTTCAAAAGCAGAAGAACTCATGATTTTCCTCATAACTTCGGTTTTGAGAAGTATGTAGGTGATACCCTACAGGAGGCGAGAGTTTAGTCACTGATGCAAAGTTGGACAGATCTGTTCGATAACAATGCTCTGAACATATATTTAATATAAAGTTAGGTTTTACAGACCAAAGCCTCTGGTAGTTCAGGAGCAAAGTGCAGGTTCGCTGCAGCCGCTGTTTCCACTGTTTCTGCTGAAAACTGCTCAGAGTGAAAGTCCCGCCCTGCTCTGCTCTGATTGGATAAAACATCTCTGGAGTTCATCTGATTCATTGAAAGCAGTGTCCATTTAATCCTTTTCCATCAGGGCCTCACTGCCCTCCTCTGACAGAACGACAATCCAGTCACATCAGCGAGACTGGATTTTTGTTATTTTTGTTTGTTTGTTTTTAAGAAATCAGGTTGCATTTGCCACCCTGCTAGCTGTTGTTTTCACAATCTCGGGTACAATCTTAGGTACGCAAGGGAGCTTCATGACATTCCATCTGGTGCGCTTTTTCTTTTTTGATTGCGCATGCACACCTGCACACCACTTATGTGCAACTCTGATTATAAGGTCAATTCATTATTATAGTAATAAGAAGTAGTCAGTGTTTAGCAGAGTCTCTGCTCGCAGACATTGTGTCTACGGTAGTGCAATCAACTGTAGATCTGTAGACTCTGTAGACAGCCAATCAGCTTGAGCAAGGCTTGTGTGTTGTGTTTTGGTTCAGCCCAAGGTCTTACTGAGGCCTGTGTGCTGAGTGCTGTACTGTGAACCTGACTGAAGTCAGAAGATTGAAAATAAAGTTTTAAGAAGAAATCCAGCTGATTCATGTTTATTCGGACATCCTATTCTGAACAACACATTTTTCCTACAGGTTGGTCACATACAAAAGGAGGTCAGTTAGTAAAATGACCAATCATTAGCACCCTGATTGATGCTTGTCCACAGAGGGCTGAATGATACTTGCAATAAGGTTTCTCTTACTCTCTAACATTCCTGTCTTTCGAGGATGACTTAGACTTAGACTTAGTACCTCCTGTGCTATTCGGCTCATTGGGGTCGATCTCTTGCGAACACATCGGCCTCGTCTGGACTGATATCTAGGGCCTTAAGGTCTTCGTGGAAGGTACAGCACCTATTCCATCAGGGATGCTCTTGTTTCCGCTTCCCCTGTGGTGATATCCATTGGATGACAGTTTTCAGTAGGAGTGGTGTTTGCTGACAGAGGACATGTCCAGCATATCTTATTTGGCACTCTGTCACAATGTCGTTCAGCGGATGGGTGGCCGTTCTGCAAAGGATCTCCTTGCTAGTGATGTGGTCCCAGTATGAAATTCGCAGAATCCGTCACAACCATCGCTGCCGGGCAATATTTAGTCTTCTTTCAATCTTTGAAGATGTCTTCCATGTTTTGCATGCGTAGATGGCTGTTGGGAGGATGATTGCGTTAAAAAGGCAGATCTTTGTCACCATGCTGACAGTTGTGGACGTCCAGTTTGGTCAGAGCTGGAAAACAGCTCCTGCCTTCCCAATCCGGCACACCACGCCGTGTTTCGCATCACCATCACTGGTTATAACGCTGCCCAGATATGTGAACCTTTGCACTCCCTCAATCTGGCGTGGCCCGATAGTGGTGGGGATGCCAGCTGTGGCGTACCCAATTCGCGTCTTGTTGACACTAATCCGGAGTCCGACCTTGTTTTATCTTTTGCCAAGGCTTTTGGTCATGTCAACGATTCTCTTGTTTGTTGCCCCAAGAAGCACAATG